ATCATGACTAAGAATTTGTATGGCCATGGAATTGTTAAGTCTCTATCTTGAAGCTGGAAACATCGAAATGCACTGTATATACTGCAATATATGTCATTGTCTGTGATTTAATATAATCTGGAGTCTTCTAGTGCTAACTAGGCCTTTCTAGATATTGATCATTTTTGTTTTTATTATTTTTTTCATCCACTCTCCCGTGCTTTCTTGATCCTGATGTGATGGAGATTTTTGTCATTATAGAACCATTTTTTGGGGGAGATATTCTACAATTTATTGGAATTTTTTCCTCTAATATTAGTCAAAGTTCTAAGGGCTCGTTTGATGCATATTGAAGAAGCAATTTTTCATAGGATAAGAACAGATAATGGAGTGGAAATGACAAGAAAAAAAATCTAAGTGGATTTTATTTTTGGATAGAAGACAAGTTTTATTTTAAAAAAGAAATAAAATGATACATCACAAAGTGGGCCTCTTTACGGGAAGAAAACAAAACAACCAAATAAAACATAAGCAAACTAGTAGATTATCGATGAAATGAAAATTTTAGGAAGAATTATTATAAAGTCTCAATAAAAAAAACATAATCATTAAAAAAGTTTAATAACAAGTATGTAGTATGTAAAGATAGGGTTTCGGTACAGGAATAGATATTTCGTCATTACATTTTTCCTGGGGACCTTATAGTAATTTTCTAAAAATTTTAAGATGAGGAAAATACCAATATATCCTTATTCTTTGGAGCTTACCAAACTTTTTCGTCTTGGGATCCAATAAGAATAAAACCAGTTCATCTTATGAAATCGCAACGACACCGTTTTCCTTGGGCCCAATATTTGATTTCTTTTCAAACACAATGGGCTCAAAAACTTCCCGTCCTAGCCTGCTTATACTTTGCTTACACAATGGGCCCAATATTTTTTTTAGATATCGTTTAGTACGAAGCATTGAAATTAATAGATAGGAACTGAGATTGTAATTAAGAAAAATTATTAGAAAAATATTTAGCGTGTATGATTACTTATTACATAGGATTAGATAAATCCATAGAGATGGGATCCCATATACCTGGATTTGTCTAATATCATATTATGTAACAAGCAATCTTTCATACTAAATACTCTGTTGATAGGTTTTTATTAATTCCAATCCTAGTTTCTATTCTTCATTTTTTGATATTTTGTACCAAATAGGACATTGGTTCCTAATCTATGTCTTGATGAAAAACACCATTACTAATATAAACGTCCAGCCACAAAAACACAAAGTTAAAATCTATCAATAGGATATGAGCTTGTATGATTTTTGAAAAATCCCCAATATAGGTGCTTAAGTATATCAACTTTAGGCCGAATAGGCTAATAGTTGATCCAAAGTCCAAACATCCCACAAGAGGCCAATAGTGTTTGTGGGCTTAAGTTGTTTCCTTGCCACAAATGCAGATCCAAACATGCCCCGAAAGAATTGGTTAAATACTTAAATGCTAATTCAATAAGCATGTTTGGTATCAAGTAAAACATTTGAAAAAAATATATTTTTATATGAATTAAGACAAAACTCTTCTCATATATTTACTTTATATATTATAAAATTACTTTTAAAATAATTGTTTAGTTTCCACCAAATACTTTTTGAAATTGTGAAACAGGTCAAGTAGATTAACAATTAGACCACCAACGAAAAAGAAAAATATCAAAAACGTATATCAAAAAATTTCGTGATGGGGCCCATCTATGAGAATATAAGATGTAACAAGGATTCATAAGCAGCCATTTGTCAGAATCAGAAAAAGTGGACAACCCTTGGATCCGGTTTGCATATTTCTGTCGTACAAAAAAATATTAATATCTTAGAAATGCGCCGTAGGAACTACGAAGCTAGGAACCGGAAAAAAAAAACTAGTTAATTGCGAAAATGACATTTATTCAAATTTCTATTTTTATAGTCAGATATTTTAAAAATTCAGATGTGGTTTCAATATTATAAGAATTAATTTTCATTATTAACTTTTTTTCAAAAAGTTGATTTCTCTTTAAAATTTTAACTTTTAAAAACTTACTGACAATTACAATTGTGAACAAATGTGGGTGACGCGAGGGATTAAGCATTCAAATGACAACTTTTGTCCCGTTAATGTAAATTTCAACCATTCTTTAAATAATTTAAAATCCTGTTTAGTAATAGACAAACTATCGGTTAAAATGGTAATATTTTTATTCACACGCAAGGGGGATAACACATTTAAATTTTCATAATCATACTTATTTAGAGAGGAGAAAATCCTTTGATATATAAGAAATAAATACTTACTTTTTAGTATTAAAGAAGTAGGTTAATATTTTGAGTGCCTCAGGCCTTTCTTATAGCCTATCTTGCTCATATAATATACTTCTTCGGTCTTAAATATAAGACTCTTATATAAGTCTTATACACACTTATATAAAAGTTTTATATTTAGAATTAGAAAAGTATTACGTTTTTTTTTTTATCTAACTACCTTTTTTATTTGATTTTTTAATCAGGTCCGGAGAAGCCAAACTTAACTAGTTATCGAGTGTAATAGGTAGCTTGCTCCTTTTTAGATTTCAATGGTGTTTAGATTAACTTTTTTTGAGAGTGATTTTATGGAATTTAAAACAAACATGTGAGTTGAGTTTTGTTTTAATTTACGTCGAATTACTTTTTAAGTGCTTATATGGGGTTGTTAAACTCCCTTTCAAGGGACCATAAATCAACCCTTTAGAATACTATTACCTCTAGTTTTTAATATAAAAGCTAGTTAATTAATTTGAATAGGTTAAAAAAATAGTTAAGTTATTTATTTATAATAAATATGTGTTGTCTTTCTTAAACTACACTTGCTAATCAAGTGTATTAGTTTGAATTACCATTTGATGAAACTTTTAACATGTATAACTACTATAATGATTACTTTGTGGAAAAAAAAGAATCAGTATGAGAGACAAAATAGATTAGAATTTTACATTTACGATTAAAATAAAAATTAAGTTAACTCTTATATTAATAACCAGAAGAAATATTGGGCCTGCTTGGGATAGCTGTGAAAAGCACTTATAAGCACGTTTTATATAAATGGAGACAAAACTCTTTTTACATACTTGTCTTGTATTCAATAAATCATGATTGAAAAATTATTTATAAGTTGTTCCAAACACACCCATCAATAGTCTATCCAACAAAACCCAGAGTAAGTTCCCCCGTTTACAATGTGAATGGAGCGAGCGTGTGTAAAGAATTTTGTGTCTCAAATTTTCTCAGCATAAAAAAAACAAATTAAAAACCTCCTTTCCATCACATCTTTCTGAGGACAAAGACGGGAAAAAGTCTGTGGAGTCACATGAAAGAAATGGCCCATCAAGTAACCCTATTTCATCAAATGACTCAATGAAATTGGAGCGTGATGGTCCCAAATGATTCATCATGAGTCATTGTCCCTTGCCACACGTGTCCATACATTTTCATTTGCCTCCTTCACACCGCAAAAGGCAATCCAACTGACTCCTCATTCCCTGGTCTCCACGTAATTGTGTCTTTAAGATATTTATTTGGTCAGGTAGTAAGAAAACAGAGCCAGTGAACTCATATTTTTAATAATAATAATAAATAAATAAATAAATAAATCTATGGTTGGTGTTGTGTCTTAAGTAAATATCATTATATTGAATGTCGCTGATAATGACAATAATTGAATTGTTATCTATCATAGTACGAAGATTTGACTCACTAATACAAATATCTGAGAATTTGACTTGGTTTTAAATTATCAAGCGTGGTTCCAGCAAAATTTATTTGGGAGAGTTTTTATTGATGAGAATTTCATCTGACTAAATATTTAGATCCAATCATAATTTGAATTTAAAAATTTTAGACTTGCCTATGTGTAAATATTTTAGGGCTTTTTTTGTGTGGCTAAAACATAGATATCTTTTTATTGGAGGCAATTTTATTTAAAGCACTTTTAGGCACTAAATGTGGGTATTTCTCTTAACGGGAATTTGAATTTCGGTTCGCTACGTTGTGATGGACTAACCCCTTTCGCTAGACCTGCTGGTTTTTATGGCTTATTTTGAACGTATATGAAAACTAAACTAACTTTGGACTTGTTTGGAACGATGGAGTTTTCAAGAGCGATTTTTTTTATTAGGAAGAATTCTATTTTGATTTAAATGAACGTGTTTATAATAAGGGGGTGTTTGGGGGTACCTTCCCGCAAAACAAAACAAACTCCTCCACATATTTATTTCTTATACTATAAAAATATTTTTAAAACCATGGTTTTGATTCTATCCAAATACCCTATAAGTAGCTCTAAACAATTACTTCTAGACTTTCAAAGACAAATTAAAGTTGAAGCAATTTTTTTTGAGCTTTTGCTTTTTTTTTTTCTAGATTTAAATTTTTTAAAATGACTTTTTAATATATAATCAAAATAAATTGATGTCAAATTGATTTTTTTTATTTACAAAATCTATTTAAATATAACTCACATTACATCAGTTTACTTTACTGTTACCCAAATTTTAATTTATAAAAACTAACTAGAATAAAAATCTTTTTGACAAACATTAATCTAAACAATTCATTAGATAGCGAAGTTCATGTAAGTGCATGATTCATATATGTAGTTTAGCTCACAAATATACAAGAATGATTGAATAGAGAAAAGAAAAATCAAAACTGAGCCCTCATTTTTAGAATCTTATTCTTGAATCTTGAGGGTCTATGTCCACGTCCGCATACCTAATTTATTTAAAATAAAAATAAAACCACATCACTAGAACAGCAACGATGACAGCAATTTAAAAGTTCAGTAGTTTCAGTGCTGAAAATTCAACTCTTGTAAAGGAAAGTCGTCGACCCAAATGGGTATTTGTGGGGTCATTAGTTTTAGACTATAAATTATAATTATAATTATAAAATTTTAAAATCCCAATGACAAAGAAGAGGGGAAGATTCAATTAGATAAGTCGTTCGTTCTAAATTTTGGATTTTGGTCTCCTCTCGTCGATGCGAGAAGCTCTCAAATAAAAAATCAACAGGGGCAAGTTGATTTCCTGTCTCGTCCGACCGTGCACTTCAGCATCCTCTGCTCCATAAGTATATACTGTAGTAATCACCCACGAGCAAACAAAATCTTGTCCGTCTCTATTTTCTGTTTCCTAGGAGGAGAGAGAAGTGTGTGAGAGAGAGGGGGGTGTGTCTGCGTCTGGGACTTGATTTTCTGGGTTTCTCCTCCTTCAGTTTCTTTTGGCATTGTAAACTATGACTAAACTGGGGAATTGCCTGGCTCTGGACTTAATCATCCTCAATGTAGCTCTTGCCTCCGTCAATGGATTTCTAGCCGTCATTGCATTTGCTCAGGTTTCCGTTTCTTCTCCTTGCATTTCTTTCTCGAGGATCTCTCTAATTACATTGTACTGTGCTTTTTCTTGGTCATTGTATTGAGTCTATTGAATCGATGACCGTTAAATTGTTGTGGTTTGGTATTTGGGCAAAAAATGAAGGAGTGATTCATCAAGATCCCATCCTTTTTCAGTGATTCAGTTTCACCTTCTGGGTTATGGGTAGAGCTTTAGGTTGTGTTTAAATTAGGGAGAATGGATGAGGGGGCGAGTGAAGTTCCAATTTGATATTTTCTTTGATTTCGATTTAAATTTTGCATTTTTGCCATGGATTGAGGAAAAGGGATGGGGAGGAACGAGGGTAAAAATTGTTTATTTCAAATGAGATTGAAGAACTTCTCAAAATTTAAACTTTAGGTCCTTTCCCTTTGTCTCCCTTCTCAATTCCAACACACCCGTAGGGTAACTTTTAGAAGGGGGAGCATGAAATGGCAAGGCAGAAGGGGTTTTGTTCTGTTCTTCATTTTTGGCTCCTTGTTGAGATAACACGACAGTGTGAGTGCTTGAGTCTGGATTCTCCAAAGTTAGAAACTCGTGAAAGTGTTTGTGTCGCAAGAGAGGGATGCGAAAAAAAGGGTGAAATACACACCCTCACTTCCTGTGCCACTTTTTCTCTCTCACTTTAGGGGTGCTTTGACTTTAGAGGATTTAAATTAAAAAATGGTTAACTAACCGCAAAATATCATGGTTTTACTTATCTATTTAATGTCCTCATTTGCATGCTCCAAGCAAATGCAGAAGGACTATTTCTTCTTGGTTCTGCTGTTACCACTATATTTTACAACATGCATGCCAAGTTAAATGTTATTTGGGGAGATAACACTCCAAAACAGTTAATTTTCTACAGTAAACTTTTCCTTTTCACTACCATCTGTGTCATAATTTAACGCTATCCTGTGGCAGCTAATGAGGATTCATATGAGAAATCAACAAGATGGTTGGACTCGTCAAAAAGTAAGTGCTAGTTCATCAGTCAATTCAAATCTTCATATTTTTATGTCATTAGTTGAAGATGCTAATATTTGCCAGCACATTGTAATGATTTTTGTGTCATAAAAGGTGTCACTGAAGTTAAAAATTGAGAGCTTTACTTATTATTTAATGCAATTGCCAAAATTGTTGTGGTATCTGGGCAGTATGATGCCTGGATTTTAAGAGTTGTCACTAAATTTTTTAGCTGGAGGTGGACACCCATCTGGTTTTAGGTCATCATCAACTACGTACACCTATGTTGTAATAGAAGCAAGATGGTTCTAAGTTGCAAAGAAACATAAAATAAGTAAGGCAGTAATCCGAGATAAAAAATTGTGTGGATGAAGGGCGCAAATTTTCATTTCTGGTATTGAGCAGGCAATCTTTCTAAGCAATGTCCTAAAATATAGGCTTTCTCTATAAAATGGCTTACTTTAGTCAAGTATGGACACCTTTTATGATCGAAAGCATACACTTGGCCAGTTAACCCCAACCAAATAAACATGTTTCTTTTTTCATTTTTATAGCCTGAATAATTTCAACTTTTTCTTGACTCATTACAGAAATGTGTCTGCACATGAGAATTCATATCTTGTTGATATTGTGTTTTCACATGAGTATCAAAATTGGATCTTAATCACGCATTGAATTATATTGTGATTGAAAATATATTTGTTTGATAGTCTAAATTCTAAAGTATAAGAGATGTGTGTAACAATATTATGATAGATAATATGTTGCAATTGATTGATCGTCATAGCCTTCCCTTGTCAAGCCTTGAAGATGATGCTATCACTAGATGTTGCTTATAAATTGCATGTTAATTTTATAATTATCACTGGCCATCTTGAGTTTTCTTTTTATTTTGCAGTCTATATGTGAAGTTTCCTGTTTTATTGCCTCTTTGGTTTTAGATATCTTATTAGACTTTGGTTAATAAGTTCGTACAGTTATGCTTCTTCCTTCTTTTCAATCTCCACCCTAAAATCTGCAATTTAATTGCCTTATAGGTTGCTCGCTGTACAGTCATGTTTTTTTGGCTCTTTTGTTTTTACATTGCTTGACATTGTTGACTTCTATTTTTTAGGTACTCCATTTCATGGTGGGATTTTCCAACTTAGGTATGGCTGAGGTTCTTACTTTTCTTCCATGAGAAATAAACTGATGATTTTAGAAGTAATTTGTTAATTATGAGAAATTAACTTTTCTTTTGAGGCAGCACTTCTCCTTCAAATGTTATTAGCATTTGCCATCGTATGAATTGAATTAAAACTAATAGTAGAAGATTCGACAAATTAGCTCTCTCTGTTAGTTCAAGTAATTTACTTCTAACTATACAGAGTAAAATGTAAACATATCTCTCTGATATTTACGCCTATTACATACATCGATCTCATCCCTTATTTATAAGCTACTATGGATGCAAGTCAACAAAATTTGCAACTTCTACCAACAACCAACTAATCCTAACTAATCCCACGTAACATCTAGTGAATTCAACTAATCTCATGTAACGTCTATGAATTCACAATTTTCCTACCTGATGTTATTGTAGTTGTTTACTGAGTTAAGTCAAGTTAATCGTACTAAAAGACCTAGATGTTACAATGTCCTATCACCAAGTTATGTTGCTAAACTACTGAAGTAAAACTAAAAACACTTTTTCTCTCTTTCACAACACAAGTTTTCTCTTTGCAGGGTACCTTATATACTTTGTTTCTACGATCGTGGCTACTTGTAATGGGTGGCACTGTTGGTCTCATGCTTGCGGATTTATCCTCATGGGTACGTCTTATTTAACCACGTATGCTACCAAAATTTCTTTTCTTGAGGGTTTAATGCCTATAATGCATTTCTGATGATGACATATTTCTGCAGCCTCCCCAAAAATTCTGTTTTTGGCGGTATATCTCCTGCTGTTGTCATTCTGGTATGTCATCATATAATTCTAGAAGATTTGTTTGTAGTATTTATTTTCCCTCTTTTTTGAAAATTGCAATAAACATGTTGTCGTGTGTCTCCATGGGGTCCATGCGGGGCTTTTAATCTTCCCTCGTTACAACTAGCAGTTAGATTTTGGATCAACAAAAAAATGTGATTACTGACTTAGGACAACTTGACAACATAGAAAATGGGTATGAAAAGCATAGGATATGGAGATAATGAAGCTTCTATCAAAAGGATGAAAAAAATAAAATAAATTTTGGATGCTAGCTTCAAAGGGGGTATGTTCTTGTAATTAGGAATAGAGAAAGAGGGAGAAAGAGGGAAAGAGAGTAGAAAGAGAGAAGAACGGAGAAAGTAGAAGAGATTAAGAGGAAAAGAGAGAACCAGAGGACACAAGAGAGATGGTGAATGATCCTGACTTCATTCAATATTCACAATACAATGGATTAGTCTGGGAAGTGTCCTTTTATAGAGGGAAAACATAACAACTGGCAGAAATGTAAATGTAACTAACTAACTGACTCATTCTCCAAACAGTCACTAAGATTCTATACTAACGTCCTAGCTACCCTTACTTATGGAACACGGATTATAAATACATAACACGGGGGTATATATGTGTTAGAGGCTGGAAGAAAGGTCGGTGGAGATTCGAGGTAGAGAAAAAGAATGATACTGAGATTATAGTTGTAAATTGAAGCCTGTCAGGGACTGTAAACTTGTTGGCTTACACAGCATGCAGCCATTTCCGGGACAGAACTGTATTTATGAGTTGTACGTATGCTTCTGTGGATGACAATTTTATAGGGTGGACCTTTGCCATCAGGCAAATGAAGAAGATGAGGAAGAAGATGATGATGACGAAAATAGCATCAACCAGGCCTTGCTGGAAGTTCTTAAGGGAGAATCTGGTTCACCTCATGTGAAAGACCACAGGAGATGCTGCTTCCAAGGCATTCATGTTGGTAGCCGGCAAAAATATGTCATCATGGTAATGAATAAAATTCCCACATTGGGCAGATGCCTTGATATTAGTGTGCTTAATTGGTTGCAAATTTATTTTAGTTTGAATTTTCTCCTTCCTTCAGATTGTTGGTGTGATCTTTCTTTTCACGATGGCATTTACCGTGATGATCTGGATTGGCATTGGTGAGAATCCGATAGACCCTTCTGTTGTTGCTGAGGTATGGAACACTTTGCCTTCTCTATGTCATTTTTCTCATAACTGAGGATTCTTATAAATGTTATACTGATGTTCAAACGAGCAGTCTTGTACAGTCTTGCTTCTCACTACGCATATGCACACACACATTCATGACAGTCTATATAGGGTTACCAAGTCTGGTTTGAGGCAACTACATTTTCATTTTTCAGTGTATAACCTGTTATTGTTCTTTGTTATTGGGTCATTCAAAACCCGTTGTGCTTAAAATGCATAAATGCTAATTCTTTGGGCTTATAAAGAAGAAGCTTATTTCAGTTCTATCTTTTCAACGTAAATTCTTTGAGTATTCATCTTTTATTTTATCTTGTTCATTTTGCTTAAATGGTAGACAGAGATTGAAAATCATAGCATTATGAGGTCTTAGTATGCTATTTAAAAAATAATTATGCTACTTGTTACCTGTCAATAATTGCAACTTGTGCAGGTATATGAAAAACTTCTTGCAGTAATGACACTTGTCTTGGCTGCGGCGCTGGGCTGCTATGGTAAGTATCTTCCCCTCCATAACCTCCATCTTATAGCTTGTGATGCCAGCAATGTGGGTGGTTTTTTTAAATGTTCATTTTTTACTCTATAGGCTTCCTTCTATTCTTCCAATTGAGGAAAGTGCGATCTGAAAAAGCTTCATCAGAAATGTGGAAGGTATATTGTAAAGCTTAATCTTGTTTGTACCTACTCCATATGTTTATGGTACACTCAAGCGCCTCTGTTGATACTGTAGCCATGGACTCTAGAGACTGGACTCCCCAGCTGGCAAATTTGGATTATCTAGATTGGAGCTAGATGATCTTATCTTTCATATTTCTTCTTCTTTTTTTCCTGATATTTGTTTTCAATTCAATCATCATTTTTTAAAGTTCACATGTCGAAGACTACATTTTGTGTATTCAGCTCTTTCTCTCTCGAATTTTTAATTTTAAAAATATATGACATTTGGGCTGTCCAAAGGCAATTTAAACAGACAAAATCTGCTGAGAAAATAACTACCATTTTGATGTTTTGCAACAGCAGAGGATCCCTTCTCTGAACCCTTAGGGCATACATTGTTGTTCTGACATATTGGCTGCCACATGCAGGTCGCCAGCTTAGCGTTTGTTTCGGTGATGTGTTTGTTTTCAAGTGCATTAGTAGCTTTTCTCACGGACATTCCTGTAAGTAATTACTCATAGAACAGTTAGCCTTTAGCTTTTGCAGCTAACCTTTATACTCAGTAAAATTTCCCTCTAAATTTCTGTACTTAATGTTGTCTTCGTTTTGGACTTGCTTACAGCTTTTCTACCATTGGCATCTGAGGCTCATGTATGGTGTCAAAGCTTTAGTTTTCTTGATCTTCTACTATTTTGTAGGTAAATTACTCAGTCTTTCATGATCATGCTGAATGTAGTTGGGTGAAAACATTGTTATCAATCCGTTGCAATGAATTCTGAAGTTGAGTTAGCCAAAGACCCTTGAATTGCATGCTTTGCTGGAATTTTTTGAATTGTGCAAGTTCTCGTTTGGAGTATATTTTTAGGGAGGTCTATACGTTTTAGGTATATGGAAATCAAAGGTATCTCATCAATTCACCTATTAGGTTGTCATAGATCTTAAATATTATCAGGTTGAATAATCTTAAAAATCCAAGGAACATTGTTACCGTGTCCTCAATGGATATTCTTTATAGTGTTGCCTGACCATGTAATTTCTGAAGAGGACCTCTTTCTCTGTGCAACCAATGATGTGGACTTTTCTTGATCACGCCGTGCTTGATCAATCACATTATACCATGGGAATTACAAACATGCTTAAGTTGTATTCCTTTTTATAGATCTTCCGTCATAATTCTAGGATTCACTCTTATGATAGCTATACAGACTACTTCCAAACTATGAAACGATTTTCAGTTCTGGCAAATCACGATTGTTGACTTTTCTTCTTAATTTGTTAGGTTCTTCTTTGCCATCAGCTTATATGCTTTGGATCATCAGAGAATTGCCACCTCCTGACTCAGATTATAAACAAGAACAACCAACATCATATGCTTATGTTAGCCAAGATCTTCCCAGCACAAATCCGACTCGCTACTGGACTAGTGCAACAAGTTCAACGAATCAGGTTTGTGTGTTGCTATGGTTCCTCCTTTAAATCTGATATTGTGAATTGAAGTTTCCAACTATGGAAAGTCACCTTGAATTGAATGGTGTTTTAATTTTCTTGATGCTCCAGTAGTTCTTGTATCTTTTTTGCCAGAGGCAATTGATTGCTTAGATTTCCAATCATGCATTGCTTTCTGACAAGCTTTTTTAGGTTCAAAGGGTGAATAAAATACAAAATCATGGTTTTTAAAAAAAAAAAAAAAACCATTTCTGGTGCCGAAATGCAGCAAGGATTGAACTTGAATGTTGCTGACTTGATCATAAAGATTCTGATAACATGTTCATTTCACCTAGAAGCTTGAGATTTTAGATGCAGGTTCGTAGGTAGTTCTATGATATTCTGACAAGGACAAAGGTTTTAATAGTTGATCGTGAGTTCTTGGATTGTGTGGAAGAGGGCGTGCTAGGGTTTGGGAGCACACAAATGTGAGTTGTTGGATTTGATGGAGGTTAAAGAAAAAAGAAATACTTATTTATGTGCATGCTCGTGATTTCTGGTGAAGATAAATTTTACTAAGGTTTAACTTGCAATCCCAGGATTTTATCATGTTCGAATCTTGGTTTTGAAGCAGTTTACTTGTCCTTGGTCTCTTTGTCAAAACTGAATTTCTTGTCACTTCTACATCTATGAATAATGAATGGATGGCTTTGTTCTAACACAGAGATGTCATTATTTTATATTTGCAGGCTTCAAAAGCAAGTCCTATATGAGGACTCTGTGAATGGTTGAGCTTTGAATGTTCCGGGTGCTGAAGAAAATTTTAAATGACATACACACTCTCCCTCAGTAATACATGATAATATGCAATTCAGATTCCAAAAGGTTCCTTAAAATGGAGATTATGAGCCATTAGATCCTAAGAAGAGTCAAGATAATGTCACGGATCATAAGATGATCTTCAAATATCATAAATGCATATATTAATCTCCACCCCTGGGACATCATCTGGACCTTTACGGTAATCTAACGGCTCATAATATTCACTCAGGCGTACATTGTAACACCCTTGCTGCAGGGGATCTAAATCTGATGGGTGCTTAGGGTTTACAAGTATCTGAAATGCGTTGATGTATCTGTATAGGTTGCTGCATATATGTATCTGTAGTGTAGGACAACTCCTTTTGTGAATCCTGAATCTCTAGTGTAGAGATAGGTACATGAGTAAAGGGGCCCCACATGTTAGGTGGTTCCCATTTTACTTTTGTGTCTATTTCCTTCTTTACAGTACTATGTTGTTGCAATGGAAAATCAGGTTATGATGTTAATGTATAGAGTTGATGAGAGTGGCATCTTCAAATGTAAATGTTTTGTAATTTCACAGAACGTGACATGGCTGAGAAGATCACTCTTTTCTGTTTATGATCATACGACTTCTTTGTAATGGTCACTTGCGTGCTTGCTACATGCCTAATTCATTTTTCAGTAGTTTGAAAATGTTGTTTTAAATTTGGATTGGATCTAATAGCATTTGGACATCCTATCTTATTTCTTTTTAGGTGTAATTTTATCTTTGATATTTTTAGTGGTATAATTTTATCCTTAATTTTTTTGGGGCGCAATTTTATCCCACCCAAAGACCAAGTGTATAATTGCACCAAAAACAAAGAGTTAAGGTGTAATTTTAATTTTGATCTTATTTCTCAAGTGTAATTTTGTCCTTCTTTTGGTGTAATTTTTCCTCTAATTTTTGGGTGCAATTTTGATCCTGAAGGGTAAAATTGTAAAAAAAAGGGAAGAAAAGAAAATATTAGAATCAAAATTGCACCACTAAAAAAAAAATCATGGACAAAGTTGCACATGGGAAATAAGATTGGGACTAAAATTGCACCTAAACAAAAAGAAAAAAGAGAGAAAATAAGATTAGAGGTAAAATTCTACTTTTATGCTACGTTATTTGTTTTTTTTTTTTTTTTAAATTTTTGCACTCAAAACACACGTACCCATAACTTTTTAAATCAGTCATATGGATAATTTTTCTAGGGGCTAAGGTGCGTCCAGCACCCTGGATTATTTACCCAGGTGCGTCTAGTGGCTTAAAGTAATTTTGGGTACATCCAGTATCTTAAACTAATTAAAACGGTGCGTCTATATCTCAGGTTAATAAAAATGTTATGTTTAACTGTTACTTTCCTGATTTAGCTTAAAGTTGACCTCAGATATTCTAAATGGTAGACATATGGACATTTGATATGTATTATTCTTACTCAAAATTGAATTTATTCTCTTCCTCTTCTTCTAAATAAATTGACTTTTGAGTAAGAATAATACACATCGGGTGCCCATGTGTTTACCATGTAGAATATTTGGGGTCAACTTTAAGCTGAGTCAGGAAAGTAACAGTTAAACATAACATTTCTGTTAGCATGGAATATGGACGCACCATTTTAATTAGTTTAGGACACTAGATGCATCCAAAATTACTTTAGGCCACTGTACGTACCTGGATAAATAGTTCGGGGTGCTGGGCGCACCTTATCCCTTTTTCTAGCTGTCCCACCCATATTGCAATTAATCATGTGGGCGGATTTGAAATAAAATCAACTCATGATTTCTATTATATTTATTTTATTAAACCTGCTCTGGTTAAACAAAACAGAAAAAAATCTAAGTAAACATGAACAAATATTGTATGCGAAACAACGTGATTATTTGTCATAGGGATGGAAAGTCAAATATTGAATAAAAATAGATCTAATTTCAATTGGGCTAGCAATTCAATATTTAATTTAAGCTGTTCTTTTTTGACCAATAACTTAATTTTACTTATTCAAGATAATTTGAAAAAGAATCACTAATAAATAATATTGGCTTAAGTAGTATTCAGTATTTCAAAATATTTTCTCAAGTACATCCAGTATTTCGAAATATTTTGTGGTGTATCCAATACTCTCAAGTATTTTTTTAAGTGCGTTCAGTATCATGAAGTATTTTTTGGTGCATTTCTGCATCTAACTCCGTAGAATATTTTTTAAGGTATACTCAACATCTTAAAATTTTTTTTGGTGTATCCAACACCAAGACAAAAAAAAAAAATTTCAGGGTGCTAAAAGTATCTAAAGATACTTGAGAATGTTGGATGTATTGCAATATATTTCAGGGTATTGAATACACTAGAAAAAATATTTTTAGGTGCTGGACACACTTTAAATCAATAATATTTAAACAAAATTCCAAAATCAGTTAACATTTAATTAGATTTATTTAATTGGTTAAAAAAATCTGAGCCATAAATACAGTGATGATATCATGATGCAAGTAGCATCTGGCTTAAAGAGAATCGGTTATGCACTTCAATCAATTACAACAACTTGATTTCAATCAATAACGTTCAATTACAGTTTTTTTTAAAAAAATTACAACAGATAAGTATCCGTTAATTTGTAGCAAAAGAAAAAGTATCCGTTAAAATATTTCAATCAATTACAACAACTTGCTTTTAATCAATTACAATTAGAATTTTTAATAAATAAATCAAACAAAGATGAACGAATTGCAAAATTAAGAAAAAGTCATTGAATCCCGAATCCTACTGCCGATGTGAGGATCTTATTGGTAGACCATCTGTAAGTACCTCTGTAATCACTCTGAGTCTGGAGACATGTCCTGGCTCTGGTGAGTTTCTGGGACCTAACTCACCTAAATTTTTTTCACCATTATTTGGGTTGATACGGGTCAAATAACTGAATAAGTATCCGTTAAAATATTCCAATCAGTTACAACAACTTGATTTCAATCAAGTACTATTTTATTTTTTTTCCTCAGAAAAATGTACTCCCTCCGTTCCTTATTATAAGAGACATTTGATGCTTATGGCATGTTCCTATATATAAGAGACACTTAAAAGTTGTCTCTACTTTTTTGTGTTGATTTTCTATTTTACCCATATTATTGTCTCCAACTCACACTTTCTCTCCTTCCCACTTCTCTTTCTTTTAATAGTTTACTATTGTTCTCTCTCATGTTTTCTCTCCTTATTAATGAGGGTATTTTTGGAAAAGAAATTATACTTTTTACACATTGATTGTTCTTAACTAATTTTAACTGTTTTTTTGATCAACGTAATTCGGTTATTCGTCTCTTATAATAAGGAACGGAGGGAGTAATAAATTATAATACTTCCGGCAAAAACAATAATTATAATACCACTTGGTTGATTGCTGACGTGGAATGATATGACTCAAAAAAGTATCCGTTACAATATTTCTATCAGGGGTTAATCTGTGACAGTAATGAGAAGGACAATCAATCTGCCAGCCTTTCATGATTTTAAGTAATAAATTACAACTATAAATAAGTAATTATAAATAAAAAGCGCAAAGAGAAGGTAACAGGCTGAAGGAACCGCTTTGCCGCCAATTCTGAGAAAGCAGAGCGACGATTCGTTTGTTTATGTAAAAGCAAAAGCGTTGAGCAGAGAACTGACTCAGTGCTTCCTTCAGATTCTGCTTTCCAACACTTCCCTCAACTGCAATGCTTCGTTCTTTTCTTGTGATCAGGGCAATTCCTTAGCTGAAAAAGCTTCGTCCTTTGCCCCACCTCGCAATCAAAGCATCTCTTCATCCTCAATACAAAAACATGTCCCCTTTCACCTTCTTCACTCATTGCGATCCAATCCCAGCTTCAAATCCTGGGCATTTCACTAAATTTTCGAATACTGTGGGTGGATTTCATCGAAACTTCCCTGAATTGGTGGTGGTTGTGGCAGTGGAGCCATGGCCAGCACGAGTGGCACCAAGGGACCGCCCAACATCCCGAGGCTAACGTCCCGGCGGATGACTCGGGTGCCGACGAGGAACGTGGAGTTGCAGAGTGAGGATGGTGCTGTTGATAGTGAGATGGTGCCGTCCTCTCTTGCTGTCGTAGTCCCGATTCTCCGAGCAGCCAATGAAATTGAGCAGGAGAATCCCAGAGTTGCATATCTTTGTGAGTATATGTTACTTCTTTGGAATCGAAACTATTAGTTTAGTCCTAATAACAGGTTCTTGATGGTATGAACCTTTTAAAGAGAAAGTATGACTTCTAACAATAAAATCACTTTGTGGCCTTAACATCCGTGCATACTGTAATTTTTCTGTTTTTGTTGGTGTGTGAGGCCTTCAAAGATTGAAGATTAAAATTTTGATTTTTTACTAGGACTTTGCTTTTATTGCCTAGAAAAGTTTATTATTATTATTTCTTTCTTTTGGAAAGAAAGAAAGGTGACGAACTCGTCTTATTTTCGGTAGTAAATAAATCTTACCGTAAATGAGGAAGACGATTACAGGAAAGGAGGAAAATAAGGGAGGAAAAATACTGGAACTTGTGCATAAAAATTGCCAACTAGTCCATATTATATATAAGTCAATTATATTAGAATCCCTTAGGAAAAAAACCAAGAATGGGACATTAAAGGGAAGCAAGAGATGCCGCCCCTTCTCATGATGCTTTTGGAGTCGACGAAGCACCTTTGAAATTGATGTATGTAAAGTAGCTAAAGACAAGCTTGTGCTAAAAGAACTTATCAAATTTGGTATACTGTCGTAAGTTTAACATAGGCTAATTTGTTTTTGATGGGAACTTTAGAAATGATTATGTATGTTAAAAAAGAAACGAGGGTAATTTTGTTAAAACTGTTGTAAAAACAGCTTGCGCTTCAGTTGATTTTGAGCTCTGGTAGGCCCTTATTTTCTCGACCTATGGTTTATAGCACACATTTGAGCTAAGATATAAAATGGTTGATATGCGCTTGCTAAGGCATAGCATGTAAGCTCCAATAAGCTGCTAATCAGTCCATTCAAACTGGGCCTATGTGTCCAGTATATTCAAACTGGGCCTATGTGTCCAGTATTTAACTCAAAACGTCAGAGGTACTCTTTGCTTGAGCTTGTATTATAGAAGAATATGAGATAATCATGATCCTGCATTGTTTATCTGACTAGGCCGCTTCCATGCATTTGAGAAGGCTCACACAATGGATCCAACTTCAAGTGGGCGTGGTGTTCGCCAGTTTAAGACCTATCTTTTGCACAGACTTGAAAAGGTAGTTAGTCTTGTATGATTACCGTTATTTTCATTCCCAAAGGTGACATTTCTTACTTCTCTTTGGTGTCTATGAGATGTCAATGAAGATGTCTGTTGTGTTCATTCATGCCTTAAATATTTGTGTTATCCTTAAATCTATTTTACCTTTGTTAGTGACTTTGCCTTTTATCTGGGAAAATAATGTTAGCACCAGACAATAATTATTTTAAGCGTTCAGTTGATCAAGATAAAATTTAATTGATGCAATGTGCTGTCCAATAATATCTAATAGTTTACATCCTGAAACGTTCAATGTATTTATTGGTTGCAGGAAGGGGAATTAACTGAAAGTTGGGGTCCCGGAAGTGACACAAGAAAGCTGCAGTCATACTACCAAAAATATTATGAGGAAAATGTCAGAGAAG